TTTATTTTTTATTTCGACAATAAATCAATAAAACTTGACTCTTTTTTTGTGAATTGCTATAATATCGTTCAGAAATTCAAAAGATTCCATGCAAGAACTTGATTTTGATCGTTCAGTTTGGGAGGCAGCTATATGCTATAGTGGTCAGATCTGAATAATTTCTTCAAGGATTATACCGCTGTCTTAATTGAATAGTTCATGTCAAATTTGGTGAAGATAGCTCGTCAAATACAAAATATATATACATATATTTCATACAAAGACTTAATTCCGATCGTTCAGTTTGTATGGCTACTATACGCTATAGTGGCCCGATGTAAACAATTTCTTCGGGAATTGTACCGTTACTTAGGACAATAACTCATGCCAAATATCGTTACCAAATATAGTCAAATAAAAAAGATTTTCATACAATAACATTATTCCTATAGCTCGGTTTGTGTGACATCTATTCGCTATAGTGATCCGATATCTATGATTCTGACAAATGAGCAGATTTATGGGGAAAAAAGAACTTATGCCAAATTTYAGCTTGATATCTCAAAAACCGATGGACTAGTTCATGTATATACAGAGGGGCAGAGACGCTGACGGACAAAATGCTCGACAAAATGAAATAGACTCAGCTCGTAACACTGATCATTTAGATATGTATATAATTTAGAGGATCGCCGACGGTTTCTGCTGGTTGTCGCAATCTCCATGGTAAGCCATTGGATGTATAACAATTTTGCTTATTTAGACCTAAAGCCTAGCTTTCGGAAAATAGTATGTTTATGAAGCCTTTTAATAGAATGACTCGAAGACAACAACCAAGAAAGTCAAAAACCTAAGCTTAAAATCGTTTAAATATTAGAACAGCACATTTTTTTTGAATATCGAGAAGTGGACAAAATGGACGCACTGTAGTAGATCAGCATCTCAACGCTTACTTTGCAACTAATCCGATCATTCGAGGCCAGGACAAGCTGATTGAATTTTGGATTCAACAAAATTTTCTATTTAAAATTAGATTAACTTGACTTGTGGGGTTGATCTGTGCACCAAGTTAACATATGATCAATTTGGACACATTTTCTTTGGATCAGCCAGACCTTTATAGATTGGCGAAGCATTTTGAGCTTAAAGCAAATGTGTCAATATTGTTCGTAAGTACTTTACTAAATTTGGAGAAGCGAGATATTTCAACGTCAGACTGGCAAAAGCTCGGCATTTGCGAAAAAGTGGCTATATCTTGCAACCTCGGCTTTCTTCATACAGCTTTGGCAATTTGAACCAGGGAAGATGTGTAATTTCACTGCATGTGAGAGACGAGACGAATTTTAATAAGGGCAAGTAGTTCAGAATAGCTTTTGCCTACACTTCTGGGTCAGAAGGAGCTCGCAGTCCATAGATCCAACGCTACAGCGGCAGAGAACGGCGGAGTACCGACTCGGTTCCCATTGGATGAAAAATCTTAATAAAAGAAGGCACCCAGAGATTCGTTAAGAGGAAACTATAGACTGACTTTAATATTGACTCTACTAAGATGGCGCGAAGTCAATCTAAGCCATGGAGGTTCCACCACAAAACAGCCATTACAAGCATACACTATGTATAAACATACCAAAAGATGAGCTTTAACATTACCTTTTGACTTGCTTTGCTACCCAAAGTTGTCGCTTAGGTTGCGTTGCCTCGACTAATTGCACACAATGCGTCGGTGTTGCGGAAACTAATGAAATATCGATGATGTCGAGATTTATGCGGTGTCGCTTGCCGCCGATGTTGCCGCCGCTTCAAATGTTGYTGTTGTTGGTACGGGTGCGGAAACTGATTAAGCCGGACTTGTCGTAAAAACAGCACTTTTTCAACTGCAACTTCTTCGGCTGTCGTCGTCGCAATGGTTTGGCACAATCTGCTGTTGGCTGCGCTGCTGCTGGGTGACAGTGCCGCCGGCGTCGCTGACGTTTCTGGCACTAAACGCTCAACTCTTGGCAAATGTGCTGTYAACGCTGATGACGGCAACAACATTTAGACTGTTCAATCAATTTGTAGAACGGACGAGAGAGAGAGACAGTSAGCGTACGAGCGAGAGTGCGAGTGTGCGTGTGTGAGCGAGACAGCGACAGTTGGTTGCAGCGTTTGCAGAATGCAAGCAGTTCTATGCACTACTTATTGCGCGCTTGATGGCAACTCTAYTATGCACTTATTGTTGTTGTTGTTTACAGTAAATGTGTGATTGCAGCTCAAATGGTGGCTTTGGCTCATTGGCTGGCTTATTGGTCAATATTTCTTTTCTTATATTCTTCCTGTTGTTATTGCTCTTGTTGTTCGCCGACTTATGACGCAAACGCGACAATTGCTGCCGATGACACTGAATTTAGTTCTACTATTCGCTTTTACAGTTACTGCTTAGTTGGTGTGGTTGTTGCTTCGTTTTGTTGTTGTTGTTGTTGTCATTTGTTCTAGAASTTTCGGCACCTTTGTGGCTCTTTGATACCACGAAATTGTTGCTACCGTTGTTCTTATTATTGTTGTTGTTTGGCAACGTTGCTTTGTTCATGTAATCYAAGCCGCTGCGGTGTCGCTTACAACAAGTTGCATGCAATTTGACAACACGTTTTAGTCACTGCCGTTCATCTTACATCGCATGCACACATTCATGTGTTTGTGTGTGTGTGTGTGTGCTTGTATGTATGTCATTGCAAATTTTTTCACATAATTTAATTGTACACACTCCTCTGCTTTGTTTTATACTTGCAATACCTTGGTTTTTGTTGGTTTTTTTGCAATATTTTCTTTGTTAATGTTGCAATCTGGAATTTTTGAAAAGAAATTTGTAATTAATGAAATTGCAAAAATGTATTTATTTAGTTCTCAAAGTTTCCGATGACATTCAAGCGCAAACATTATGTTTATATGTATGTGTATATAATTAGAACGCTCTATGTAAGTATATATACATGTATTTGACTTTTATTAATTGGCATGCATTTTTCGGGGATTGCGCTTGTTTGCGGTGAATTAATTCGATATGTTCGGGTTTGAGTAATTCTTGTTAATTTTAACTTATTTATTATTTATTTCTTAATTTATTATTATTTTTTGAAAATTTGTATTGAGCTSTTGCTCCAGTTTCTGAGCAAATGTACCATGGTAGTGTATAGGTGTTTTATATCTTCAGAAAGTAGAGATTTAAAAAAGCATAAATCCTGCTGACCTTTTAAAGCAATCTACAATTTTGACGTGTGAATTTTTGATAGAAAATTGGAGTGTTTTCGTTTTTTAAGTCGAAATAAGGTTTTTTTCTTAATTTTTTTTTATGTTTGAAATGGCTTAACGGGTTTCATAGAATCGAATTTCATATTAAGTTCTACAACACCTCTAGAATATTATCCTAAATTTTCAAGTTGATCCGAGCAATAGTTAGCTAGGCTAAGTGCGTCGTCTTTAAACGCGTGAACTCGATTGGCAAAATTTCTCGAGAACTACTCAGCCGATCATCAGGAAATTTTACACAGGTCTTTCGTAAAGACCTGGACGAAGATTTTTTTTCGATTACAACGATTTGAAAAAAGAAAATGTCGCGAAATTTTCAAAATTTTGTTATTTTTTTTTGTAAAACTCTCTACTAAAAATAAAATAATCGGTTTTTTACTTCGTCAAAGTTTTGAGTTAGGGTTTTAACTAAAACAAGTTTTCTTTTCACTTTGGAAATTTGATCTGATAATCGTGTAAGGAGCTACCTTGCCAATGAGGGCACATCTTTTTTCCGAGAGATCACCGGAAATGTTTAAAATATTTTCTCCAAAAATTCCAGAATTTCTTTGTTAATAATGTATGTTTGCAACAATAAAAATTTTTAATAAAATATTTAATTTTTTATATGAGAAAATTTAAAAAAAAAAACTGTTTTTTACCCGAGAAAACCTATGTAATCCCATATGTCGATATAAGGTTTTCTACGTTTTTTTTTAGAGGTATAAGAAGGTATGTTTACTCCAAATGTCGTCAGAGATTCTTTTGTACCAGATAAAAATAAAAAAAAAACCCAAACACTGTAATATTTGAATTTTTCATATAAATTTTGAGGTTATGTGAAAGAGATGTTGGTACAAAAGATATAGATCTCTTCGTGACCTACAGCTTTACCATATCACATTTTTCTAAACGGCACGTAGTTTTGCCGTAAATTGAGTTCAACCGTTGTTAAATCCTAGAAACTCAACCACGCCCTCCCATTGCTGTTCCCGGCCTTGGAACGCCCGTAACATAGTTTACTTTTTTGTGCTATATTAAGTTTCATTTTCAAAGAGGTTCAATG